GCTGCCAGTCTTGATATGATATCATACCTGTATTATTCCAGCTCCCTCTGAAGGGCTGGTATAGATGGGCATTGTTTTCCTACATTTGATGCGTTTGAAACACACTTCAAGTGCTATTCAGAAGATTACCATTTACATCAATGGTGTAGTGTGGATGACACTTCTGGGCAAAGCATTTGACCTGCTTTGCTTTGCATTGCTTTAGAGACAGCATGTCCTGTTGAGATGCATTTGTTTTGCAGGTAAATCAAGTCAAATGCCCTCTTGCATTTGAGCATCATTGCATTGTTATGCAAAAGGAAGCATTTGACAGCAAGTCCTAGAGGCTAAATTGCTTATTTTAATTTTGGCTATAGTGGGGAAGAGAAAGCTCAGATGGAAATTAAGAGTCTGTCTTCTGCACATTAGAGAGATTTTTCATCATCTACCATCTCTCAGTTGCTCTGTCACTGGCACAAAGAGTGAGAGGAATTCTCCACAATAGTGACAAAGACAGCAATAAAAAAAAAAAAAACTAACAAAGGGTTTAATCCATTCCCACTCTTTAAAAATGGTCTGCAGTAATGTTAACCATACACCACTCAAATTGCAGACAATTCCTTTTGAATTGGCTAAAATTCAAGCAGTTGGTGACGGGTGGCTCTGTTGACACCATCCACCTCGACAAACTTCAGTTACAAAATTGAAGGAGCTGGGTGAAAAAATGTAGACTGAATACATGTAAAATGTAATTGTAATTGTAAAAATGTAGATTGGATACATCCAATCAAAATCAGTCACTGTTTGGGTAGACAGACAGCTGTAGGGCTGTCTGTCTGAATACAATAGCCAGTAGGTGAAGATTCCTTCATCCATGCTCTTTAGAGTGGATGGGGAAATTAAGTGATTTCTCTCATTCAGCCTGTTGGGTTGAACGAGAGGAATATACCAGTGTATGGCTAGCTTAAAGCTCTAAGAAGTAACATTGTTGTATTATCTTAGGATATTAGACCAGCTGTAGAGTTTTAAAATGATACCAGTGTAAACCTTTTAACTATCAAAGTACCTGAGGCAATTCAGATCCAAGAATAGCAATCCATACTGATGTTTCTGTTAATATTGTTGCCCTCTGGAAATGGGGGCCTGTTTCCAACCTTACCCAGCCGGCAATAGTTTTTCAAAGTATAGAATAGTCTTCATAAGGAACATAAAATCTATATTTATTGTAAATGTTCTATACATTTGTGCCTCTCAGACAAACTGGCTACACTATCCACTTGAGGAATTCATTTTGGCTTGCAAATAATAGTCTACCAGCACTGCATTGTCTGTTAAATTCATTTATAAACCAAATTTAATAATAGTTAATTTTTATTTCCCTCACGTATCCCCCTTTCAGTTGGTGAGAATGGTTGAAATTCAATACCTTCTAATTACCAAGAGTTGTTTCAAATAGGATTAGTGTATAGAGCAGCCAAATTAAATCAATTATGTAAGTGCTTTATACACTTGTCTTGTGAAGCATTTTAACAGCCTGTGAGTTGGCTTTCAACTTATTCCAAAGCAGACAGAGCACATGATAATTGTGAAAAAATGTCTCCCTTGCTTTATTTTTTAAGGTTTTGTTCACTGCATTAATTAGATGTGATATTCAGGTGATAAAACCCTTCCAGTCCCAAAATTGTATTGTCTATCATTTACAGCAAAGGGTTAATCCGCTCCAAACATTTACTTCAGAATTCAGTGCGTTCTGAAATTGGCTAAAAGCTTGGGCTTGTGTCAATTGGCACATGCAGCTTGCTTTTGACATCAGTTGGAGACTTCTGAGATCTTTCAGAATTTATTGGCAGGAGCATTTATTCTGTAGTTGACATCCTTCCTTCTAACGTGCATTTGACCTGCTTCAAGCTGCTTTTGCATTCCTATAGACTTGTATAGGGAAAGGAGCAGTTCTGATGCAAACTGAAGCCTGTTAACACAGACATGCTGCAAATGGACGTTTAAGTGTGGGTGCTGTGGTGATCAAACGGTGGATGGTGTCTTTGTATATAGCAGAGACAGACTGTTGTAGTGACCACATCATGATTGATTTGGTATTCTGGGGACTACAACTGTCTGTTTATCCCCATTTGAGACACATATGGCTTCATTTATAGGAAATTCCTATACTCAGCGACATCTAGGGGTGCTAGTGCTATGCAAACAGCATCTGCCCGGCTATGCCCGGGGCAGAAGATTTATAAATAAAGCCCATACAGTACCTAAATCCCAAGAGTGGTTTTTATTGCCATCAAACTCCCCGGTGGAGAGATTTCACCTTACTTACTCAAGTAAGTAAGGAGAAATATCCCTTGTGGGAACACAGACAGCCATAAAAAATTGCCTCACAATGTCCAAAATGTAAAATGTTTTACTGGACCTCCACTTTGAAACACTTGACTGAAAAGGTTATTCTTTAAGGCCCTTTCTACACGGGCTAATGAGGAGAGGGTCCATGCAGGGATCCTCTCCTGATCACAGCAGTACAGGGCGCATGTCAATGCTGTGACATCTGTGTCCGTACAGTTTACCGGACCCCATGCCAGTCCATGGGGAATCTGATGTAAAAGTACATGTGTCCATTTACATCAGATTAATCGCGATCCGGCACAATCCGGTTCCTCAAAACGGAACACTGTTCCGTTTGTTTTGGCAGAGACGGGGGTAACCGGGTATAAATGGACGCTCATCTGTTTATGCATGGCTGCCAATAGACGTGCATTGGGCATCTGATCAAAAAAATGTCAGGCAGACCTAATCGTACCACCCATGTGAAAAGGGCCTTAGGCACTGACTGACAGGCTGCCTGAAGATGTGCAAAACAACTGGCGATTTGAAATAAAACATAAATAGAGGACACCCACTTTTGTATTACATTTAATTTAACTTAGATTAGTTGCCATGGGTGCTTGTCCTCTGTTTGTGTTTCATTTCAAATCGCCAGTTGTTTTCCAAATGTCTTATTAGCAGAAATCATCCAATTTTTATGCTGTCCGTATGCATTCCTTCTTAGTGTCAACCCATCATCCTCTAGGGAAAATCATGCTGAATTCTGCTTTTCCTTTAAGTAATTAGATTCAGTGGCTTACAAAGTTCACGATCGTTCCACTGTAAAATATCGCTAAAATGCATCCATTTCTCACTTAATTCTACCAACATTGTAATCCACTTATAAATTATATCTTGGTTGACAGCTGTGCCATTCCAGCGCATGCAGAACTCTTTATTTAAAGATTCATTCATCTAAAAAATTTTCCTTTCCACTGTCTCTTATCTTAACATTGGCTTCCAATTTCCCTGAAATTAAGAATAATATTCTTTCATTGAGAATACAGTGATTGTTATGTCATATGTTCACTCTAGAATTATTCATGTAATACATAGTTTATATTTTATCTCTCCTTTGAAATCTTCTGATGAGTAGTATTCTTCACTGTTAGAGAGCATTGGCCTATAGCAATGCACAAATTATAGTAAATTCACAAACAGTCTTTTTTTTTACGTTTGAGGCTTACTTTTGCTGTGTCTACAAACACTAAGTTTTAAAGCTTAAAGGAGAACTATGAGGGGAGTGCTTTTCACTCACCTCATAGTTCTAGCCGACCTGTGACAATGAGACTGAACCATGCAAACAGTCAAATACATAGATAAAATACATACTGTATGTGGGAGCTGTTTCAGCTGCCAAAGGATTTGTATTTCTGCCCATCCAGTTCTGAGGTATTCACAGCTCTGCCACACAGTACAGCCCTGTGCAATATTGAGTTTGTCTCTTCTGCAGTTAAGTAACACTTGCAAGTCTTGCCTTTCTATTCTTTCCAGCCTGTGACTGCATAGTGAAAAGACAAGCTACTTACTGATGAGCTCATCTGTAATAATGAATACAGTGCTACAATAATTTGTTTCTTTTATACCTGCCTGTTGTTGAGTTTTAAGATACATATACTTTATATATCTCTGCATCGTTACCACGTAGGGTGGCATAAAGAATGCTCTATGACTGCGACTGTCTAGATTTCTGTCCCCTGTTAATTGTATTAGAGGTTATCTGTAAAAAAAAATAAGTAAAGGCAACTGGACTTGCTGTATTTTCCTTGAAGGCGTTTCACTGGACATCCGACCAGCTTTCTCAATTCAGAATGACTTGTATGAAAAATGATCTGGAAATAAATATGGCGAATGTTGCTCCAATCCACATGATCTGTCACAACCAGGTGTTGATTGTATTTGCATAATTGGAGTCTGGGAGGTATTATTAACCTGCCCAGAGAGAGGTGTTAAAACAGCATTGTATGTGACAGACAATAGATGTCTCACCCCCCTCCCCCACCACCTCCTCTATTCAAGCTTGGCTTCTTCATTTTTACATAAATGGCCCCCTTACACCTCTTTTAAACCACTCCTCCTCCCTATCTAGGATGCGTACTTGACTGTCTTCAAAAGAGTGACCTTCTTCCTTTAGATGTAGGTATACTGCTGAATCCTGACCAGAGGGTTTGGCTCTGCTATGCTGTGCCATACGCTGGTGTAGTTGCTGTTTTGTTTCACCGACATACAATTGATACATGAGAAAGCTGGTTGGATGACCAGTAAAAAGTCTTCAAGAAAAATACAGGAAGTCCAGTTGCCTTGACTTATTTTTTACAGATATACCATGACCTGGATGAATGAAAGCCTTCACAGATTTATTAGAGGTTGTTTTGTCATCCCAAAAGGTATCCCTTAGCAGCCTTTTACACAAATGATTGAAACATGCAAGTGTTACATTTTACTTTTCCCCCGACACATTTTAACTAATTTATTGTGAGCTAGAAATACACATGTAATGTTAATGTTTGCACGATAAAAACATTTCTACATAAACTGTGATAAACAATTGGATGTTGTGAATAAATACATATGACAATGATTGAATACAGCTTTATGACAGAATACAGAAAAAAGATTACTTTTCTTAAAGTGTTCCTTTTGTATTTTCACAGGGCCTCAAAGCAGCTGACAATGATCCCACCGCTCCACCTTATGACTCCCTCTTAGTTTTTGATTATGAAGGTAGCGGCTCTACTGCTGGATCTCTAAGCTCCCTGAACTCATCAAGTAGTGGCGGTGAGCAAGATTACGATTACCTAAACGACTGGGGCCCTCGCTTCAAGAAACTAGCCGATATGTATGGCGGCGGAGATGACTGAACTTTGGATTGAACTTTCGTTTTTGTGGACAAGAACAAACATTTGAACTGATATTCCCAAAAAGTGTAAAGAAGCTTGGCTTTAACTTTGTAGTCTACTAGCACAAGTGCTTGTTTGAAGGCTTTGGCATAGGCTGCAAACCAATTTGGGCTCAGTGGGAATATCAGTCATCCAATACTGTTTGGAACAAAAATTGATTGAGCTCAGTTACACTTGAATTTTACAGTACAGAAGCACTGGGATTTTATGTGCCTTTTTGTACCTTTTTCAGATCGGATTTAGTTTTATGTTCAACGCTTTAATGGTACTGATTTCTGAAAGGGTGAAAAGACAAGGTATGTTGTAGGTGGGCTGGCATAAGTAAACAAGGATTTCTTCTTCATCACGCCTTTTTTTTCTTCTCTTTCTTTTATACATTGCATTGCTTATATAAAAATCTGAAATTGAGAACAAATTTCATTAGAATAACTCTATTAGCTGCAGAGAAAACCATGTGATTGACATGTAAAGTGCATTATTTTAGCTTTTAGGCTTCTTTTCCCATTAAGAGTCTTGGATTTTTTTGCAGTTGGTTTCAGGAAAAGGGAGTTGTCATATCACCAATTTCTAGCATAAGTGAGTTTTTTTTGTTTTTTTCTTTTGTAGCAGAATTGATTTTATTTTATTTTCACAAGATAGGCACATTTTGGTCTTAATCAATGTACACTTTTTCTTTTGGGTATTTTTTCACTTCACTGTAAAAATGATATGTGTACATAATGTTTTTTCAACATAGTCTATAAAGAAGTTTTCAAACTTCGAAACATGTGTATGTATTATTTGGACTATGGATTCAGGTTTTTGCATGTTTATATCTTTTCTTTTTTTCTTTATGGATAAAGTATTTACAAAAAAACAGGTGACAAACACAATTACATAAAAAAACCTGTAGATTCAGTACACCAGTTTATTTTTTTCCAGTTACTTATTGGTTTGGGAGGGAGAAAACAAGAGTTCTTAGCACAAATGTTTTACATAATTTGTACCAAAAACAAAACCGATAGGGGCAAACTGGCGTTGGTGGCACTATTAATACATGTTTGAGGGGACAAGCAGCTTTTAAACTGGAGGGACTTTGACAACGACTTTGCCTCTGTATTGTGTACCAGAATATAAATGATGCACCTCTGACCCCCACGTTCTGAATAAAATGCTAATTTTGGATCTGGTGACTGGTTTGAATTTTTTTTTACCTTTTCCACTTGAACAGTTTTGAATGCTGTGAAAAATCCCAAGATGCTTTGAGCTGAGTGAGAAAAATGGAAAACTATACCGCACCAGCTCTCAATAGCTGTAACCTACTCTTGCTTTGTGCTAAAAAGAAATTTGATTTCCCTTTTGAATATTGAAGCGCAAAAATGGACGGTAAATTTGAGTGGCTGAGAAGTTGCTTGGGGATCCCAAGCTCAAATGTGGAGCAATTGAAGGATACAGTGCTCAGTCATTCATGTCCTGGAAAGAAGGAACGTCTAATGAAACCAGAGTAGCAGAGCTTGCGTTTTACACAAAGTAACATATGACTGTATAGCTTGTAACTTATAACAAACAAGAGCAAATAGCACAGTAATTTATAGTAATTAAAACCCGTCTTTTCACTGAGGTGTGTGAAGGAAAACACAATATATTATGCAGTGTTGGGACTTGCATTTCCCTTTAGATCTCGAGGACATACTAGTCTCTCCTTTTCCTAATAATTGGTTTTCAAGTTGTTAAGTGGCACTGTATATCTCAGGGACTTCAGTAATGATACTTCACATGTGCCCTTTAATGTTAAGGATCTAAACAAAGCTGAATATAGCTTTTAGTTTTAGCTTAATGGTCAAAATATAATACTCTTTACTTTAGGTTTGCACTTTAAAATCTCCTTTGTTTTGACACACGTATGATTCACTTATTAGTGTCCATGGAAAAGGAGGATTATTAATGTCACACTAAACTCAGGAGTTAAATCTTAAAAATGCGTTCAAGTACCCTAACAATTAACACAATATCTTATTAGTGTATCACTCAGCTGTAGATCCTCAAATCCTCTCTGAATTGGTGCTGACACTGTCCTTCCTTCTGGAGTGTGGCTACTTTTGTTTCCCATGGTCCCTGTGTGTGTTGTAAAGTAGCCACTGCTCCAAGCTCGATCCTCCTGAGTTCAGTGTCACTTTGTCATGATTTTCATCAGCTTGTAGTGATGATTAGTATGCAGTAGTGCAATACGGAACAAGGCTTATGGAAGGTCACATAGATTTGGTCCTAGAGCAGTAAGGTTTTAGAGGTTTGTACAAAGGTCGCCATTATCATTATTATATACATTTATCTATTACAGGAAGTACTCTGTTTATTATCAGAAATTATAACTTAAAGGAATATATTTTTTATACAGATTGCTGCGCCACCTTGCCCTGTGCTATCTATGAATCCTTGATAAATGGCCAAACATTACATTTTAATTATATGTTCAAGTTTGGTTATGGTATTAAAGCTGAACTCTGGACTAAACAAATATTGTCTAAATACAAGTACCTTGTATATTATTACATGAATCTTGATGTGCTTTGTGTATTTCTTCCAGATCTGTGCAATAATCCAGCATGAAACAGCTCCGGTGCCTCTGTGCAGGAGCTTCCTGTAAAAAAGACCCTCCTATAGATCTGCTCTTCACACAGGCTTTGTGTATCAAAGTGAGAATGCCGCCACCACATTACAACGTAATAATTGGATTTGCAAAGGTACGTAAAGTTCAGCTTGAAATATAGATATTCATTAGATTAGCCTAGACTAATCCAGAGGGAGCTCTGTATTTATTGATGCCTCCCTATTTACCAACAGTTCAGATAGGAGGATAGGCACACAAGGAGTGCATTGTTTTTATGTGCAGACTCATAGACTTGCATAGTGAGAAGCAACAGTGAATCACAACCAATGTGATGCACGTCAAAGCAGAAAACTTATGTAATGTACCCATATGGCTGTCTCATGTACACATATACACATTGATACCATTATTAAGATCACTCTTCTCACTTTTACTTGTATAGTATATCTTAAAAACTGATAAGAATGTACTTTCTCTTGAAGTGGCCATTCTTCTGACAACTAAACCTTTTGACACAAAATTAAAGTGCAACTCCATTCAGATATTCAAATCCACATTTGAAACATATGTTTCCCCTAAAGAACAGCAGTTAGTCTTATGATTCAACTTTTGCTCATATATTTCTCTGCACAACATTAAGGAAGGTAATATCACCTTTTAAAAGCTGTATTTTGTCAAACTGCGTGTCGGTACCCCACGACTTATACTGAGAAACCGTTCTGCTACAAGTAAGTATGCTGAGGATATCTATACTGAGCTATCGGATTGCTACTGCTGAATTACAGCACATTGGAAGCATCTATCTTGAGTCAATGTTCTGCTACTGGAAAGGTTGAGCACGCTGGGAACACCTATACTGAACCATCTTTGTGCTGCTGGTGAATTTTATCAAGTCTATAGTGAATACGTTTTCTGCTATTTTAGCACAATGTGCACACCTATCTAAGCCTCTCTTCTAGCACTGGTGAATTTTAACACACTAGGGACACCTATACTAAGCCACTTTTCTGCTACTGGTAAATTTCTGCACACTGGGCACAAATATAGTGAGCCACTTTTCTGTCATTTTAACACACTGGGGACACCTGAAATGACCCCCATTCTGGCACTGGTGAATTTTGGCACACTGAGGATACCTCTACTGAGCCACTTTTATGCTACTGGTGAATTTCAGCACACTAGGGACACCTATACTAAGCCACATTTCTGCTACTGGTGAATTTCAGCACACTGAGCACACCTATACTGAGCCACATTTCTGCTACTGGGGGCACCTATACTAGCCACCTTTCTGTGCATTGTAAATTTCAGCACATTGGGACACCTATACTGAACCACCTTTCTGCTACTTGTGAAGTTCAGCACAATGGAGACACCTGTACTCAGCCACCTTTCTGCTACTGGTGAATTGCAACACACTGGGCACACTTATACTGAGCCACCTTTGTGCTACTAGTGAATTTAAGTACATTGATGGATTTTAGCACAGTGAGGATGCCTAAACTGAGCTTTCCTGCTCCATTAATTCCACAAAAGTACCTAATGCTGAGTGTTTTTTTGCAGTCACTGACGCCAGGTTTGGGAGTTATTATTGGGGTCACTGACACCAATGCTGGAGGGGGTTATTGCAGTTGCACCATATTGGTGGTTATTATTATGGGCAGCCATTTATTTTTAAATGGAATGCTAACGCAATGCAATGCACCTCAGCACAAGAAAATGCACTGCTATTGTGCAATGTTCTGGAAATGTTGGGCCTGCACTTAAGGTTCTTTTCAAGCTGACCACCACAAAGCTAGACATTATGAGACATAAACAATTGTCAAAAAGAAGTCCTTGTAGAGTTATCTTTCTCATCTTGCCACTGTAATTCATTTAAAATGTCTGATTTCAAACAAAGAGGAGATCAACTATGAGTAACTTGATGTACAGGTTTCTCAGTATTTTATTATCAAAACAAAGTTATAGTACAGGGGTAAGCAACTTCGGCACTCCAGCTATGGTGGAACTGCAAATTCCATCATGCTTTTGGTAGTCATGTCTGTGGCTGTCAGAGTCTTGTAATCTTTCATGGGATTTGTAGCTTCACCGCAGCTGGAGTGCCAAGGTTGCCTACCCCTGTTATAGTTAGCAGTTCATATGTTTTTGATTTTGTAATTATTCCATTAGATATCCTGTTGCACTAACAATGTAAGATAATGGCAAACAAGAAAACAGTTGTTTGTTTACAAGAATTCCAATAGTGTGATGATTTACCAGCTTCATTGGTTCCTCCGTGGTGTGAAATAAGATTCCACTTACGTAACTATCAAACTGTTGCTGTTCATATGACACATCTAGGAAAAATAACAGCATCCAGTAAATGCAATCAGAAAGTGTATTTATTCACCACATGACTATAAAAATAAAATGTTCCAGGGAAGTGAGGATCAAGCTATAACTTCAGCTTACTACCTGCACTAATATCACAGTTATTAGTTGTCCATATCAGGCCCTAAAATAAGATTTAGACTTTCTTATTGCCATGCTGCAGATCATTCAGAATATATGTACTTTGATTGGTTTTGTTCCTTCATACTGCGGAGGCCAGGTAAGGTGATCGTCAGAACTCAGCACCTGACATTATTATTTTTTACATTTTCTTTTGAAGCACCTCTCTGTTGATAGGAATTGGATGCTTTTCCCATCATATGATTAAGAGACTTCTTATGGCTTTTATGAACTACAGGTTTTGGGCCATTGGTCTTTGTTAGGTAAGCATAACCCTAGATATGATAAAATTGAATGAGCAAATCCACAAGAATTCCATTCGCCCTGTCTGTCATATGTTTATTGGCTATAAAAGGGAGTGTGTTGATAGTCTTTGTTCACTTCAGACCTGTTTCTCTCCTCACAATAGGTAATGGGAAAGTAAAACCAGGTTGATGCAGCTTAGAAGGTAAAATGCAAGCCAGAAGGAGGTCAAGTGCAGGTCAAATACACTTGTTATATGGCAGTTATCTTTAGCTTAGAAGCCTTTTTCTTGTGCTTGGGAAATGGTGTGGAGCTACACAAAGAGGCCCCTGAGCCCTTCTTAGTGACACAATGAATTGGGTCATAGCCTTCCTGATGGAGTAGCAAGCCCATCACCCAAGGTAGTTCCAATGTAAACAGCTTTGCTGAGATTTTGATTTTCTTTTGGCTAATGTCTTACATTATTCCATTACAGAGATCAGTTTAATTATGTCCCCTTGTGAATGAGACTAAGATCTCCCTATGTTTCAAAGATTCTTTTACTGGCTTCTGCATCATAAAATACATAATGGTACTTGTCTGGTTGCCAGTTAAAGCCTGAGTTATGAAGATCGCCTCCAGAAATTAAATGTGCTCTCCGTAGAAAAGAGGTGCTAAAGAGGGGACCTAATTGCAATTTTCAAAATGATTAATGGGGAACACAATATTGGGAATAAGATGTTTACACCGAGAACTCTATTGATGACAAAAGGACACAACATGAGGTTAGAAAAGAGGCAATTCAATCTCAGACTGCGCATGGAGTTTTTTACTGTGAGAGTGGTAAAAATGTCCATGACAGCAA